TTGTCCCTGGCGGCGGGGGTGCGCCTCCTCGACAGCAGGCTGGACCGGGAGGCTCTGTGCGGCCAGAGCCCCACGTGCTCCCTGCACCTCCAGCTCGTCATGGAGAATCCCCTCCAGCTCCACCGGGTCGAGGTGGACATCCTCGATGTGAACGACAACGCGCCGCAGTTCCCCAAGCAGGAAGTGGCTTTGGAGATTACCGAAGTAGCCAACCCCGGGACTCGGCTACCCCTGGAGGTAGCGGAAGACCCAGATATGGGCTCTAACTCTATTGCCACCTATGAGCTCAGCCCCAGTGCGTATTTTGCCCTGAGTATCAACGTGAGAGGAGATGGTGTTAAAATGCCTGAGATTGTCCTCGAGAAAGCACTGGATAGAGAGAAAGCGGCTGTCCATCATTTAACCCTGACAGCCCTGGATGGAGGGAATCCAGTGAAATCTGGCACTGCCAAGATCGCCATCCATGTCCTGGATGCAAATGACAACCCACCTGTATGTGACCCACCCATATCCAAAGTGCATCTGGAGGAGAACGTGCCAGTGGGCACTCTGGTCACCAAGCTGAATGTTACCGATTTGGATGAAGGCCCCAATGGAGAAGTGGAGTATTCTTTCAAAACAAGCAATAATGCACCTGGGAAGTTCACCAGGTTGTTTGACTTAGATCCTCTGACAGGGGAGATCAGAACCAAAGCCCCACTGGACTATGAGGAATCCAGCGCTTATGAGATTGCAGTTCGAGCCAGAGACAAGGGATCGCCGGCCATGGAGGGACACTGTCACCTGCGAGTGGAATTAATTGATATCAATGATAACAGTCCAGAGATTGTGCTGACCTCTCTCTCTAGCCCAGTGCAGGAGGATGCAATCCCAGGAACTGTGATTGCCCTCATTGGTGTGAAAGACAGCGATTCTGGTGACAACGGTCAGGTCCGCCTGCAGATAGCGAAAGACCTCCCCTTTAAACTTGTGTCATCTTTCAAAGAGCACTTCTCCCTGGTCACAGATGGTCCCCTTGATCGGGAAAAGGCCAGTGAATACAACATCACTGTAAGGGCTACGGATTCAGGGTCCCCACAGAGGTCTGCGCAAAAAACAATTTTCCTCCAAATTGCTGATGTGAATGATAATGCACCAAACTTCTCCAGCCCTTCCTACACAGCTCACATTCAAGAAAACTCTCTCCCTGGGACCTTTGTCTTTTCAGTGTCAGCATCTGACCCTGATGAGGGAAGCAATGCCAAGTTGTCTTATTCCATGCTGGACAATGGGATGCAAGATTTACCTATCTCAACTTATTTCCAAATAGACCAGGATAATGGCACCATCTACACCATCCAGGCTTTGGATTACGAGCAGGACAAGGTGTTCCAGGTGCCTGTGGAGGTGAAGGATGCTGGGTCTCCCGCTCTGAGCAGCACTGCTGTGGTCCATGTGTTTGTCATGGACCAGAATGACAATGCCCCCACCATTGTCTACCCATCTGTTCCCAAGGGCTCTGCCTTCCACCAAGCCATCCCAGCCTCGGCAGAACCTGGCTATTTGGTTAGCAAAATTGTAGCTGTGGATGCTGATAGTGGCCATAATGCCTGGCTGTCCTACCAGCTGGAGGAAACTGCTGAAACTTTGCCTTTCCGCGTAGAGCACCGCTCCGGAGAGATAAGGGTCGCACGGACCCTCCGGGAGTCAGAGGCTCCCTATAGGCTGGTGGTTGAAGTGAGGGACAATGGGACACCGTCCATCTCGGCCTCTGTGGCAATAGTCATCTCTCTGGAGGAGAACATGCAGGATTTTGCCAAGTCTATGGACCTCCCCAAATCTTCTCCCAAGGATCCCAACATAACTCTTTACCTGATCATCTCCCTTGTGTCTATTTCCTTAGTGTCTTGTGTGACATTTGGCATCATGGGTGCCAGGTGTCTCAGAGCTGGCTCTGGCTCCAGCTGGACCCTCATGGGCTGCTGCCGAGGGACAGGCCGCAAGCCCACCTCCCATTTCCGCGGGCAGCTGAAGCCGGACGGCTTCATCAAGTACCTGGACGTGGGAGGCGCGGGCCTGACGTCCCAGGCACAGCAGTACACCTCTTGCTTCTCTCCCATGTCCGATCAAAGCGATTTCCTCTTTGTAAAACCTTTCAGCCATTCTAGTACCGCCGAAAGCATGGCTGCCTATGAACAGGCGACCAGCACCTTAGCGAGTCCCTGTGATGGGGTAAGAAATGGGTGATTTCTTGCTGTGGGCAATGATCTGTACTATCCAGGTTACTTTGCTGTTCTAGGCCTGTTCTTTAGCTAAAGAAGGTGACCTCGGGGAATGTATGTTACCTTCACCTGGCCAGGAGGTGGCCAGTGAAATATTTGGCTCTGTGTGGTGGTGTGATGGCACGGGGGTGAAAGTCACTGTAAACTGAAAGGCTGCGTGCTTGTGGCAGCTGGGTTAAAATGGGAGAACTTTCTTCTGGCCTTCTTGGTACTCGTTTATTTTTAAAGAGATTCTTGGCATGGTCAGTATGATGATTTTTTTTTTTTTTGGTATTTAACTTTTTTATTCTGCATGTCCTATGAAACTACACACAGGAGGAAGTTACCATAAAGCAGAGTTTCTCAGTGTCTTGCTCTGTTTTAGGAGGTGTGTTGTAGAAATTTCCTCTTTTTTGACTCTGAAATGTTAACTGCTGATTGTGCCTGGGCAAGGGATCACTATCAAGCGTGGCAGATTAAGGCAAGGGGCTTTGAAGTAGTGACGTTTTTCTCTGAGGTCCTGATGACCTTATATGCCCTCAAACTTGGAGAGACCTAGGCAGCAGCGTGCTCCAAAATCTGAGACACTTTAATTTGTATGTTTAAATATGGATTTAGGTGACTGCATTTAGCTGTACCTTTTATAACTTTGGTATATATCTGTAAAGACATTTTGTGTCCGTAAATGCCTGCCCTAAATTTGAAAGTAGTAATTATAATAGGATTTCTAAAAATAGATTGGGAAGATCTTATTGATTGGGGGATTGTGTGTCAGTGTGTGCAGAAAATGTGCATATCTGAAATCTAGAGGACAAGTGTTTAAACAACTTAATTTGCATGCAGCACGGATAACAGTGGGGCCTCTATTTTAGGGAAGTCAGTAATTTATTCTAATGTATTCCTTTACCAGAATCATCAAAGCTGTGGGGAAATTAGCAAAATCACTTCTACCAAATAAAAATCTAGGTCAGCTGTATCCGTCTTCAATTTTCCTTAGTAATTGCATGTGCAGGCAGAATAATCCTATAAAATTTCTGTTACACTGTATGGACTGTGAACTGCCCGTTCCTGAGGTAGCTGAGAGAAATGTTATCCTTTCCAGGTAGCATGTTATCACTCTGGAGTTAATTAAGAAGATTACGATTTTAGGAAGTACGCGTCATTCAGACAGAAAACAGTTCTGCTATTTAGTGCTCTTCACAAAGGCATGATTCAAACGAGTAATACAGAGTCCTGTTTCGTGTCCTTCCTTATTTACAAAATGCCCATTGTCTGGTGGTAAAATAACATGGATAAAAAGGAATACAAGGCCTACTAATGAAGTTACAAAGTATGTTGCTGTGTCTGATGATTATTGTGTCCCCTGAACAAATAATGCTTTTTTTTGCTGTTGTTGTTGTCGGAAGTTCATTCTGTTCTGTGTGGACAGAAAAATATTGCAGTGCTCCAAGGCCACAGCATCTAGGAAAAGTCATTCAAACATAATGTGTGAAATCAAGATCTCAGGCAAGCCTTTTTAAGGACAGAAGAAGGACAGATTAGGAAGGTCTGTTATCATTTCACCCTCTGGCATTAAAAAGATCTTTCCCAGTATCAATTAATTCCCCTTTTAATCAATTAACTCCTCAGTTTGCCACCACCATTCCCGTTATGCTCCCCCAAGCTTGTTACTTTGGTACCGTTTCTCCTGCTAAAATTAATGCCCTTATCAGTTTGCTTCATGCTTCATTTCTTTCACAGCCCGATTTCCTGAGCTTCTTTGGAAGATTATTCTCTGAATAGTTTTTGTCATGCTTTTTAGCATTCACGCTGCTTCAAAGATGGTCAGGAGAGAAGAGTGGGTTTAATGTTCTTTTCTTTCTCGCCCTCTTTCGCTCTCTCTCTCTTTTTTTTTTTTTTTTTGATTCTAATTGATATGCTTTCCTTGGAAAGAATACTGTGATATTCCAGAGTGAAATAATCCAGGATCCATTTGCTTTGATTTCCGACAGAAGAATAGAGGCATTAAAAGTTTTCTATTTTCTTTGCAGCAAGCTCAGCCTAACACAGACTGGCGCTTCTCTCAGACTCAGAGACCTGGAACCAGTGGGTAAGTGCCTTTTTTTTTTTCCCTCTATGCATATGTCTGGGGTGGGATTCATTTCCTTTGACCCTGGTTGTAGTGCTGGAAGGTCCTTGGGTGGCAGCTCTGAGGATGGATTTTCACCATTGTTTTGGTAGAGCTGTGCAACTGAAGAATTGGAAGTAGTGCTGTTCCTGTGTTAGCTCTGTTTGACACTGGTGTGACAGCTGTTTGGAGTAGTGCGTCTGGTTTTGGTGTCTACAGTTCCTGAGGGATATTCAGGAACTGTAGAGAGCTCCAGATAAAGTTGTGAGGTAGATAAAGGACTGGAAAACATGCTTCATAGGGAACAACTTATTATCTAAAGCAGATATTTAGACAAGATTTAGGTAGGTTTTGAGTCCAAAATCACAATCCCTCTCCCTGCTCAGAGGCTCCTGAAATCACTCTATGAGTCCCTTTACCACCCACAGACTGTTAGGCTCTGTGTTAACTGCGTTGCCTGCTCTGGCTTGAGCCTTTAGTGCCAAACTCCTGTGTAAACCTCTAAGCAGCCAGAAGCTGTGTTAGATGAGGCCCAGGTCCTCAAATATCTGCCTCAAAAATTGTGTCTTAGCCACATCTTTCCAGGAGGATCATGTTTCTTCAAAATGCAAGTGTACATGTTGTCTTCTATTAAGTAGTCCGGCCATAGAATTAGTTTTGGGAGATTAGGATCCAGTTCCATTTGTTTGGGATTTTGAACTCATTCTCATATCCCTTGAGAAATGCCATAACCAGCACAGGGTAGCTTATCCAGATGAGGACTCCTTTGCACCCTTCACACTGGAGCTGGGCAACAGAGCAGAGGGATGCTAAGAAATAAGAAATTAGATCTAGTGGGTGAGGAAACTCACAGGGGAGAGGTCCCAAGGTCTGGCCTTGCTCTCAAAACTGTGCCTGAGTTTTTAAAATGAGGCATATGCAATGTCTGAGTCCTAGAAGTAGAGGAGGGAGCCTGCCTCCTGACTCACCCATCTCTTGACTGTTGTCTCTCTCACCTCTCGTTCAACGAAGTTTGTTTTCCTTGCTGCGCAGTGAGGAACCATGGACAGAAAGTGTTGAGCAAGCGCTTTTCACCTCTCCACCTCCCCTTCTAGCTCACAGGCAGAGGGAGGAGATCTCTGCTGAGAATGAACTGTGTTGAGCACCATAAGGATAAGAAAGTAGTTAGGTAAGGAGTGTCCCTCCCTGTGTCAATAGCCTAATCTAGTATGGGGTGACTGCAGAAAGGACTTCAGGATAATTTATATGTGAAAAGGTTGTAATGCGGGCTGGGAGAAATAGGAGTGAGTGCTGATGCTGTGCTTCCTTGGCTGGCTGGGTCAGGCATCTTATCTGTGCAGATATGAGAGGACTCGCATCTCTGTGCGTCACTGTTGTTGTTGGCTGGCTGGGGCAGTCTCCTCATAGGTTTTGAAAATTCCGTATGGAGATCCCAGGGTCCTGGCCTCCAGTGTGGGAGTGCACACACAGTTAAGTGTTCACTACAGCTAACTGCTTACTGTCTGAATCCTTCTCTCGAGGTGGCTCAATAATTTAGCTTTGCAGAAAGAAAGTCGAGAGACCTGCTATAGCCAAGTTGTAAATACTGTCACAGCAGTTAAACCTTGTTACTAGGCTCTCCTATTTGAGAAAGCTAAAACAGGAGCTAGGGTTTGATATAGAGCTAAAAGTATTCCAACTAGAAATCGAGCATAAACTTTAACAGCAAGGAAAGGTCTGTAACGGTTTCCCAGAGCTCTGTTGAACTCCCCATCAGTGGCAACTTTTTAATCAAGGAAAATATCTCTAAACATTTATGCTCTAGTTGAAACGATAATTAGCTGGAAAGCCCTGTTATACAGAAGTGCACAAGAGCCACTGTAATAGTTTTGCTACGAGGAGTGAGTAAACGAGCCCCATCAGAGCAGCTCTATTGCTCTCCCTTCTAGCATTGTGTTCTAGCATCCTCTCTTCAAGGCACAGCGTTAACACAGTGCTGACCTACATAGCTCAGTGATGGGGACCTTCCTCAAGCCATGGGGCAGGGGCAAGCACGAAGGCAGCCTCAGACTCAGTTCGGGGGCAGCCGAAATAGCACTTCAAGTTGATTCTAGTGCATGTGATTTTGGTGGGTTTGTCCTCAGTGTGCTACCTGATCTGGAACTAGGTGATCTGGTGTCCAGCACAGTCCTTGAAACAACCGCCGAAGGCTCCTATCAGTGCCAGTTCTGGCAGTTGTCCGTAGCACAGGCTGCTCAGATTGGCCTCTGGGGCCTCTGAACACAGGCTTGTACCGAAATAAGTCAGAGGATTTTGATTCATGCTGTTTTTCACCACCTGCCTATGTCCAGATTCCATGTTTGCAATGAAACCACATTCACTGAATTCCATGTCATTTCCTTTTATCCTGTCTTAAGTTAAATTAAAGAACATACTTTTATTCTAAACCAGTGTTAAGATTTAAAAAGATGTCAGCAGCAAGTATTATCATGTGGACAGATTGTCCCTGACAACTCTCCAGTGATCAAGCAAGTCAGGCAAGTCTTGGAGAACAGTTTGTTCCTTATTGTGCTGTTTCTGGGCTCTTACTGGTATTTTCTGATGTCTGGTATATGAATCCTCAGACCTCAGCTGATAGCACAGATATTAAGGCAAGGGAAACTGCCTGAGCTCTCCTGTTGTTCTCTCTGAGGTCAGTTCATGTATGGACTGTTTCTTCTACTGAAAATAAGCCTTTGCAGCAGTATGAGCTCCTGAACTCCAGAGCTCTGCTCAGGGCTTGGTGAGCCAGCCCTGAACTGAAAAAAATAAAATAAATAAAGAGAGGGATGTGTTCTTAACTGAATTTACTTAGTGTAAATTAAATAGCAATAAAGACAAGGCAGCTTAGGCTAGCAGATTGGATGGATCCTGCAGGGAGTCTGGCACTGACCCTAAACCAGAAAGCAGGCTAAAACCAATGTTGTCATTTCTCTTTTAATATTTTAATGTGAAGTGGAAGAGAGAATAACGCTGCCTTTTCGTAATGTAGACTTGGTCACAGGGAAAAATCCCACATGCCTCCGAGTACCTGGAACCAGTCAAAGCTCAGTGTAAGTTCAGTAAGGCAGGAGCTGTCTCTTTTACATCATCACTTATATTGGGCAGTAAAGAGGATTTGATCTGAAACAGAGAAGAGCTTTCAGTAAACTTTAGACAATATCCCTGGAAAGCATCAGGGATAGCATTAGACCTTTAAATGAGTAGAGTGATTCTCAATTAATCTTGTTCGGGAGAAACAGGAGGACAAATTGATTAGTTTAATAATGTTTGTATTTTGTTTCCTCTTTTTTTTTTTAATGTACCCATGCAGTCTCTGGGCAGATGTAAGTGAATGCAGAATGCTAATTAGCAGCAAATTCAATTCACAACCATACCCTATTGGGGGTGGCTGTAGTGGAGGCTACAGTGCTGAATTGTCCGGAGCGGTGCCGAGCTAGCGGCATTGCAGGACGAGTCCCTGTGGGATTGACAGTGTGGGATTTCCCGGGGTGGGTGGCCGGAGGGGAGGAGAACGTGGGGACTGGTACTGGTGCGAGGGACCCGTCTTGCTGATCTTTCAGCAGAGGAACAGAGACCTGACTTGTGCCCCGCATTCACGTTATTTGCCTGACAACCCCTCGTTGTTTTGATCTTTGCTCGCTAGTTTATTCAGCAAAGCACTGGGCTTGTGTCAGAGTTTTCTACTTGGAGGAGCAGGGAAGGGTCCTGGTGGCTTTAAGGAGAGCATGGGAGGATGAGGAAGGTTCCTTCCATCCAAACTGGGAAGGAACTGTGTGTCCTGGATACATCAAGGGGGACTGGGGACAATCTCAAGCCACGTGAGCTGGAGGATGCGATCCCAGACAGGAAAAACTGGAGAGACTGGGATGGAAGGACTCGAAAGGAGACAGGAGACTGTATGAGGATTCCAGCTCTTAGAGGGGAGGGATGAGCAAAGTATGCAAACAGGATAGAGTGGGTTATCATTCCCCTCACCCCCCTCAATCTCCTCCCTGTGCTAATGGTTTTAAATGCCTCTCTGAGCCCTTCCAGGCTAAACCCAGTCAATAGTGATGTTCACGTCATTCACCCATTAAACAGTCTCACAGCTGCCCTGTCTGACACGGGGCCGCTGTCCCATGACCTGTGCAGAGGGCAGCAGGGATGGGACTGGGGACACACTGCAACGCAGGTGGCAGCAGGGATGGGACTGGGGACACACTGCAACGCAGGTGATAGCAAAGCTGCAATCTTTCTTCCTCAGTTTCTTTTTTTTTTTTTTTTTTTCACTCCTGGGTGCCAAGACTTGGACAGTCATTACTAGATGAATCAGACAGCTGAAAAAAAAAGACATTCCACGAATATTTTCTAAAGCTCCCTGAAGGGCTCTTGGTATCCCAGTGGCTGCAGGATGGTATTCGGGTACGCCCAAAGACCTGGTGCAACTCCAGGGGCTTCTGCCATGGACTTGGGAGCGTCAGGAGCTCCCGTGTGAATCCATCGCACCAGCATGCCAGGGACATGCTCCTGCAAAGTAAACTTCTATATGGGGCACTTAGGCCACGCTGGGAACATGCTGTGTGTTTGGGAGTTTCCAAAGCATGTACAGGCCAGACACACTCTTGCATTTACATAGCAAAGTCAGATGCTCAGCTCAGAAACAGATCCACACACAGGTTCCAACATTTGTAAGTCTTTCCGAAAGCAGAGAAGTATTTGCTGACTGAATGGTCATGGCGGGGGCGGCCTGCGAGTATTGTAACCCCGAAGGAATTTATGCTGCAAGCTTATGTAACGCCATGGTCAACACCGTGGCAAGTACTAAAGTACGTGAGTGTGTGGATGGGGGTGGGTGACAGCGTAAATACTCTTAGTTTTAACTTTCATTCACTCATTCATTGCAAACGTGTGGCAGCTCGCTTCACACACGGCTGTGGGAGCCACAGGCTCCCTGTTGTAGGGAGCCAGCTGTACTGCAGAAG